TCATTAAATTGTAGCAATTTACCCACATTGCCTTTATGAAAAAAAAAAATTTTTTTTTTATCTTCCTCTAGTCGAGTTCTGATTATCGAGCCATCAAGGCTAGGTCAAATGGGTACTCTCTGCAAGTTTGGGCGTTCTTCTGCGTCTCCCCTCACTTCATATCAGCTGGATGCTTCACTCTCAGCTCTAGTCTCTGTGGCAATGTCCTTGTCCATGGGCTCAGGTGTCCCCAGGTCTCACCACACTTTGGACCATCTAGCCCTTCGTCTTCTTTCTCTCATCCCCAGGTCAACGGGAGTCTATGGAACGTGGTTGAACTTAGCCCATATCTTCATTGCTGCCTTTCCCCCTCTTCCACTCACCAGTAGACCAATGTGCTCATCAGCAAGCTTGCATGCCTGCTCATGTGCTCTCTTTGAGTTTTAATCTTAGAGGGGGGTTTGTCCTGAAGGGGCTTGATTGCTTGCCTTGTTGGCTTCCCAGTAAACAATGTACTTATTTTTTTCTTTTTAATGTTTTATTGTGAATTATGTGATAGTTTACATGGGAGAACATTAGCTTTACATTCATCCTATCTTATATTGTTTCATTGCCATGGTTACAATCCCCTCAATGCATCATCAACCAACCAAAGGATATACCATGTAAGCCTGCCCCCCTCTAGCCCCCAGTCATCAGCACACAGCCCCTCTCCCTCTCTGGGTCTAGAGTCCCCAGCTGCTCCGTCTCTCCACGTCATTGTCTCTGCTTCCATCTCTGGCGTCACTGTTTCTCTGGGTAGGGTCCCGCTCTCCGCTCTTCTCCCTTGATGGTCCCAGGGACCTCCGCTCCTAGACTGCAAAGTCAACCACTCCCCTCCTAGTGACAAAATGTCTACCTGTACATTTCCAACCCTCACAGTCAGTCCTGATAATAATTATTCACTGTTGTACCACCTGAGTGCTATCCCCATCTCCTTTTATCAGCCCCTCCCAGATAGATTGGATACTACTAAGTGGAGATTCTACCTTCCTCCAGGCCCTCTGGATCTAGGCTACCTCTTGAAAGCTGGTAAACCAGTCACTTCTTGCCTTTATAGGCCCCCCATTTTAGGTAGCCCATGTCCCAGTTGCCCATCCTTGTCTACTCTGTGTATGGAGGGGGTGGGAATGATCCTCGATATAAAGATTTGTTCCCTCTTTTGAGCTACTGCTTCCATAGGTGTAGGTCAAGTTCATCAAATTGTATCAGATTACTCTTTTTTTCTTCTTCTTTCTTCTTCTAGTTGAGCTCTGATCATCCAGTCACTGAAGCCAGGTCAAGTGGGTATTATCCGCAAGTGTGGGTGTTCTTATGCATATGCCCTCTCTTCTTATCAGCTGGATGCTTCACTCTCCAATCTAGTCCTCTGTGGCTATGTCACTGTCTCTGGGCCCAGGAGTCCCCAGGTCTTGCCACACTGCTGGCCGACCAGGTCTCTACCTGGGTTCACAGGAGTCTATTGAATGTTGTAGGGCTTAGCTCGCAGCTTCATTGCTGTTTTTCCCTCACTTCCCCTTATCGGTGACCAACATGGTCACTAATCAGAGCGTATTCCCATACACACTTAGAAGGGGGTTTTCTCTGAGAGGGACCCAACCACTTGGCTTGATGTCTCCTGGATGAGCAACTTGCTTGTTCTTATAGTAATTAGTCGGACTGCCTAGAGTGTTTTGTATGTTTCCTGTTGGTCTTTCTTTCTGTTCTTCTAGCCACTCCAGGCTGGTCTGCTTGTCCTTTCAAGTGGAAATTTCCTACCTCAGAAGCTTCTGGATGCTGTTCAGGATTCCACCTATGGTTTTATGTAATAATCTGCTTATTCTTGGAGCAGCCAATCATTCGGCCATTTTTGTTTTGGGTTTTTCCTGAAGATCTTTCTTCTGTCATTCTAGCTGTTCCAGGTGGGTCTATTTGTGCTTTCTAGTGGGGATGTCCCACCTCAGAAGGTTCTGGATGGGACTCAGGATTCCACCTAAGGTCCTATACACTGCAAAGGCCTATTTCACTGGGCAAGTTCTAGAACCCCTTTTAGGTATTCCAATCAATTATAGGCTGAAGATGGGCTTACAAGCCAGCTCTTCTTTCTTTTGGTGGTAGTAGGTTCCTCTGAGGTCAGCTTGCTGGTTTGAATCTCTTTGATAGCTCAAAAGAGATTGGATTAAGATATCACCTAATCTTGTAGATTACCTGACCTCATTAACATCATAGAAGTGAGGATTCAACAACCCACAGGATAATGACATCAGATCAGAGCTGATTACATCATGGGGTGATTACATCATGTTGGGTCTCATCAGGGAGGTGATAACTACATCTTTCCTGCTAAACCACTGAGAATTTTGGCCCAACCAAGATGACACAAAACCTTAACTACTGCAGGTTCCATTGACTTCCCTCTGACTCATAACAACCTATGCACAACAGCATGAAACACTGCTTGGGTCTATGCCAGCCTTACCATCTTTGCCATGTTTGAGCCCATTGTTGTAGCGACTGTGACAATCCATCTTGCTGAGGGTCTTCCTCTTTTTCACTGATTCATTACTTTACTAGAGCATGATATCCTTCCCCAGGGACTGGTCCCTTCTGATAATATGTCCAAAGGATACGAAATGAAGTAGCATTCTAGCTATACTTCTTCCAACACAGGTGTGTTCATTCTCTGGCCGTCCATGGTGTATTCAATATTTTTCTTCAACACTGTAACTCAAATGCATCAGTTCTTCAAATCTTTGTCTTTTTCATTATCCAGCTTTTACATGTAAATGAGGTCATTAAGAGACCAGGACTTGGGTCATGGGTACCATGTTTTTGCTGTTTTGTTAAGTGCTGTTGAATCGGTTCTTACTCATAGCCACCAGGAGCGGCTGGTGGGCTTGTGGTTCACATCCAATGCCCATCCTACAACACCACACCACAAGTCCCAGGTGTACCATAAGTGCACCATTAAGATGACAGCCAAGAAATGTCTGTGTAGCACAGTTCTACTCCATGGGGTCTAACACCTGGGGTCACTAGAGTCAGATGGCAATGGATTTGTTTTGTGGGAAACAAGAAAAGTGGGGGATCTCCTGGAGCTAGGTCTAAGAACCCCATAATTTAGGGGAACCAGGACTCCAGGTGTGCCACTATAGGATGGGCACTGGACTGGGAATCACAAAGTCAGCAGTTCAGGTCCACCAGCTGCTCCTCAGAGGCCACATGTAGGGTCGCTATGAGTCAGGACCAACTCAATGGCACTTAACAACAATAAGGGCTAGACCAGAGTGAGGGGAAAGGACTTTCAGGTGGGCTGCTACCTGGGTATGGAATGGGTGAAGGGAGAAAGCTCACGGAGTGAGTGTAGGTAGCTAAGCCTTGATGAAGGGGCCAGCGGGGACTGAGGGTCCGAGGCCCGCAGCAACTGGAGGTACTGGGTGACCTTGGGGAGAGAGGTCCACCAGGAATGTGTGTAAAGAGTGAGACAAATATTCTCACGTGTCAACTGTGTGCCTGGCAATAGGATGACGTGGCTCACCAAACCCTGTCTAGCTCTGGCGGAAGGCAGGTTTGTGGACTGGGGCCCGAGGAGGGAGTTAATAAGTAGCCACTCAGATAGCAGGGAGGACTAGGAGGGACAATAAAGCAGGCGATGGGCCAGATTTTAAAACTCATAGAACCTGGGGACTGAGAGGGGGTCCCTAAGGAGAAAGGCAGAAAATAAAGACCCCTCTTTTCCACATCACCTACGGGGTTCCAGGTTCCAGGTCTACCAGTAGACCTTCACCATCCATGTCTGGCAGGACTCTTCACCCCAAGGTCATCCAGCACCTCCTTGGCTCCATCTCAAGGACTCACTGGATGTTTATCTTCCTCCCCCTCCCTCCATCTGGACTCTACCATCCCAGGCACCTTAACCAGTGTGCCACCAGGGCCCCTTGAAAAGTCTAAAGAAACATACAGTAGGGGGAATGCTGGGGAAACCAAACACAAATACCCCCCAAAATTGCTGCCATCAAGCGATTGAGAAAAAGGGGGAGGCCATTTCTGAGGAAGTGGAGAGGGTTTAAGGGGCCCAGGTGGCACAGTGGTTAAGCGCTCAGCTGTTCACTGAAAGGTTGGCCGCTGGAACCCCCAGCTGCTCTGTGGGAGTCAGCTTTGGTAAACACGACAGTCTTGGAAGGCTTGTGCGGCAGTTCTATTCCAGCCACAGGATCGCTGCGAGTAGGAATAAATTGGACAGGGTGGCAGTGGGTGTTTTGGGAGACAGACAGAAGGAGCTGGAGATTCATTGGGATTTGAACTCCTGGAACCTTGTGGGGGTGCCCAGCATAAGCTCTCATTAATCTTTAGTGGCAGGAACTGGCCTTGCCTAGCCCACTCAGCTGTCCAGTGTGCTCAAGGAAAAGGAAGGATAAAATCAGATTTTCTTCCAGGTCATGTGTAGGGGAAGAACAAACAGCAAAGAGAGTTTAGGGACCCGGAGGGAGGTGCAGGGGAGAAGTTGGTGGAAGATGGGTGTTTTCTCCAGGGCTTTCAAGTTCTTACCCAGAGCTCTCTGGGAAACCAGGAACCAGCTTCTCTTCCATAGATGAGAGAACTTCCTTTATTTTTGCAATTCAACTTTCTAGATCACTCTTACAGTTTTCAGTGTCGGTAGGGATAAGGATTTGGTGTACAGAGACCCAGAGAGAGGGGGTGGACAGAGACTGACAGAGAGGGGGACAGAGACCCAGAGAGGTAGAAAGTAGGACAGAGGCCTGGAGAAGAGGGTAGAGGACAAAACTCAGCAGCAGAGGCATAGAGGAAAGGAGAGAGAGTCTCCCATGTGCTAAGGCTGAGACCCTGGAGCAAAGCTGACGGGTGAGTACCCAACTCTGAGTACTGTCTCCCGGGGACACCAGTACCAACTAAGAACCCATTACAGAGCCAGACATTGGTCACCTGTGATTACCTTTCTATGAGCAGGGGGCCACAGTTGTTTCTGTCTCCTCTCTCTGCAGCTTGCCCTCCCCCACCTTCGGAAGAGCCGGGGCAACATCATCAACATCTCCAGCCTGGTTGGAGCCATTGGTCAGCTTCAGGCAATTCCCTATGTGGCCACCAAGGTACACCCAAATCCATCCCTTCCTTCTTTCCCTTCCTGGACTCCCACAGGGCCTTGGTCTTTAGGATCTGACCCAGGGAGGGCCTCTCTCATGCAACTCAAAAATTCAGCCTAGAGGAACTCTTGGTCAAGTTGGTAAGCACCCAGTTTCTCCTAAGAAATGAGTCTCAGGTATCTAAAGGAAACCTGCAAGGAGAGCATGCTCCCTGGTTCTGGTTGGGAAGAGAGGACAGGAAGAGCCCCATCTGCCATGGTTTGAACTTCCTCCTCCACAGGGGGCAGTTACGGCCATGACCAAGGCCTTGGCCCTGGATGAGAGCCAATATGGCGTCCGAGTCAATTGGTGAGTAGACTTAAGGAGGCACAGAGTCCCCTGGGGAGGGGGGGAAATGGGAGGACTGGGAATGAGTCAGGCCCTAAGGTGTCACAGGTTTCCCCCTAGCAATGAACCAAAGGGTTGGCAGTTCAAATCCACCAGAGGTGTTGTAGAAGAAAAGCCATCTGCTTCCATAAGATTGCTATTGTTCGTTAAAATCAAGCTAGCTCCAACTCTTAACGACCCTCTGCACAACACATTTTGGGAGTCTAGAGGTCTATATTTAGGGCACCGGCTCTTGTGGAAGGCTCTCTCTCTCTGTTGACTCTGGAGAAAGGTCATGTGTCCTTTCAGCATCTGTACTCCCAGCATTCCTTGGAGGTCTCCATGTATCTTGGCACCAATCTTCCCCTGGTCTCTGCACTGAGACACTCCTAGACCCAGGGGAAGATTGGTACCTGGCTCTTCATTCTTGGTGATAGTAAATCCCTGTGATCTGCACTTTCCTCTTTCCTCATACCTTTTGTAAAAGAAAAGGTGTTATAGGACACATCTCAGGGAAACTCCCCTCACTTGGATCAGGGCTCTGACAGGATTAGGCTGTTTTATCCAACCCTAATCTTGTTACAAAGGAACTCTGGTAGTGTAGTGATTACAAATCGGGTTGCTAATCTCAAGGTCAGCAGTTCGAAACTACCAGCTGTTCCACGGGAGAAAGATGAGGCTTTCTGGTCCTGTAAAGATTTACAGCCTTGGAAACCCTGTACAGGGTCACTATGAGTCAGAACTGGCTCCGTGGCACGTAACAACAACAACAACAATGCTATTACACCAGAAGGAGTGTTTGTGCTTACTGAGCACGAAAAGGCTTTCAATTGTGTGGATCATGAGGAACTTCAGATAACACTGCAGAGGACGAGTATTCCAGAACACCTGAACAGGCAGTCACTTGAACAGAACAAGGAAACACAAGGGTTTTAAATCAGGAAAGCTATGCCCAAGGGTTATATTGTTTCCCCATAGTTATTCAAACTGTATGTTAAATAATCCAAGAAGCTGGATTACATTAAGAATAATATGGCACCCAGGAGACATCAAGGCTAGTGGTTGGGTCCCCTCAGGGCAAACCCCCTTCGGAGACTAAGACTCAATGGGAATACATGCTCTGATTGGTGTTCGTCACTGATAAGGGGAAGCGAGGGAAAAACAGCAATGAAGCTGTGAGGTAAATCCTACCACGCTCAATAGAATCCTGTGAACCAGCGTAGAGACCTGGTTGGTCAGCAGTGTGGCAAGACCTGGGGACTCTTGGGTCCAGAGTTAGTGACATAGCCACAGAGGACTAGAGTGGAGAATGAGGGGTCCAGCTGATAAGAAGAGAGGGCATATGCATAGGAACACCTACACTTGCGGATAATACCCACTTGACCAGGCTTCAATGGCTGGATGGTCAGAGCTCAACTAGAAGAAGAAAGAAGAGGAAAAAAAGAGTAATCTGATACAATTTGATGAACTTGACCTACACCTATGGATGCAGTAACTCAAAAGAGGGAACAAGTCTTTACAGCAAGGATCATTCCCATCCCCTCCATACACAGAGTAGACAGGGATGGGCAACTTGGACATTGGCTACCCAAAATGGGGGGGGGGGGGCGCTACAAAGGCAAGAAGTAACTGGATTACTAGCTTTCAAGAGGGAGCCTAGATCCAGAGGGCCTGGAGGAAGGTAGAATCTCCACTGAGTTGTATCTAATCTGTCTAGGCGGATCTGATGAAATGAAATGCGAATGGGTCTCTTGTGGTACAATAGTGAATAATTGTTATTAGGACTGACTGTGAGGGTTAGAAATGTAAAGGTAGACGTTTTGTAGAAAAAGGAGGGGAGTGGTTGACTTTGCAGTCCAGGAGCGGAGGTCCCTGGGACCATCAAGGGAGAAGAGCAGAGAGCAGGACCCTACCCAGAGAAACAGTGACACCAGAGATGGAGGCAGAGACGATGACGTAGAGAGATGGAGAGGCTGGGGACTTTAGACCCAGAGAGGGAGAGGTGCTGTGTGCTGATGACCGGGGGACAGGCTTGCAGGGTACACCCTTTGGTTGATTGATGATGCATGGAGGGGATTGTAACCATGGCAATGAAATGATAGAGGATAGAATGAATGTAAAGCTAATGTTCTCCCATGTAAACTATCACACAATTCACAATAAAACACTTTGATAGAAAAAAAAAGAATATGGTATCATGATTGGAGGAAACTCATTAACAACCTACAATATGCAGATGACACAACCTTGTTTGCTAGAAGGACTTAAAATATCAGTGAAGATCAAAGACTACAGTCTTCAGTGTGGCTTGTACCTCAATGTAAAGAAAACAAGAATCCTCACAACTGGACCAATGAATAACATCATGCTGAATGGAGAAAAGACTGAAGTTGTCAAATACTTTCTTTTACTTGGAGCTACTATCAAACTCATGAAAGCAGCAGTCATGAAATCAAACATTAGCAAATCTGCTGCACAAAACTTCTTTAAGTGTTGAAGAGCAAAGATGTCAGTTTGAGGAATAAGGTGGGGGCCTGAATCACTTTTTGTGCATGTGAAAGTTGGACAATGATTATGCCAGACTGTCGAAGAAATGATGCAGTTGGGTTGTGGTGTTGGAGAAGAATATTAAAAGTATCATGAACTTCCAGAACAAACAAATCTGTCTTGGAAAAAGTACAGCCAAAATGTTTCTTAGAGGCCAGGATGACAAGACTACATCTTGTACTTCGGAGATGTTATCAGGAGGGACCGTTCCCTGGAGAAGGGCATCTTGCTTGGTAAAGTGGATGGTCGGTGAAGGAGAAAGAAGACCTCCAACAAGATGGATTGACACAGGGCAGCAGTAATGGGCTCAAATATAGCAATAATTTAGGACGGTGCAAGACTGGACAGGGTTTCCTTCTGTTGTGAATAAGAACTGACTTTATAGCACGTATACCTAACAACAATCCTCTAATAGCAGCCCTGGTGTCGTCGTGGGTTATGTTCTGGGTTGTTAACTGCAGGATAAGTTCGAATCCAGCAGTCATTCCATGGGAGAAAGAGGAGGCTTTGGTTCCCATAAAGATTTATAACCTCTGAAACTATACAGAGTCCTAGTGTAGCACTGCAGGATAAGCACTGGACTGCTAACTGCAAGGTCAGTGGTTCAAACCCACCAGCCACTTCTCAGAAACCCTATACAGAGTTGCTGTAACTTGGAATTGACTGGATGGCACTCACCACCAACAATCCTTTTATAACTGATTGGCTCATCATATCATGCGTGAGCCGAATGTAACTGCTATGTTACATCATCATTTCACTGCCAAACAAACCACTGAGAACCACGGTGCAGCAGCGCTGACACGTACTTTTAGGGGACGCAGTTCAATCCATGATAATACTCCTAATCTGCTAGCCAAAATAATGTGCACATGAAACAAACCCACACGAAATGCCCACACAGAAAAAAACCCCATATGTTAATTAGGATAAGGGTTAGCCATTGTTCCTGTGTGCATTTTGTGTGTGTGTGTGCATTTGTCACAGTGGTTTTTTTTTTCTGTGTGGGCTTTTTACATGTGCATATTTTTCCTAGAACCCCTTAAAATCTAGGTACAAACAGCTTCTACAGAAATACAAGCTCACCCTGTTTACCTTATTTCAGATTTATGGTTTGAAGTTGCTGATGCTAAGTGCAGTTTGTTTAGCATGAACAGGTGTAGAGTGTTAACCCTCTGATTTTAGTGCTCCAACTATACCCTTGTTGTTAACTGGCATCGAGTGGATTTGACTCATAGCAACCCTATGTAGGGTTTCCGAGGAGTGGCTGGTGGATTTGAATAACCAACCTTGTAGTTAGCAGTTCAGTGCTTAACCTACAGGCTCCAGCTGTATCCTTAGACCACCCCCAACCCCAACAGTTGTTTTTACCCATATTTTTTTTCTGTATGTTTTGTACTTGGAAATACTTGTCTTTTAAAATGTTCCCAGAAATTCAAGGTCAGCAATATGTTGACATCTGAAACCCCTTTTTGCAAAGGAGGTCAGCTACTACTACAGAAAATACGGGCCTGGGGAGGTCAACACAAATCCTGCCACCTCCAGCTTTATAACTGTTATCTCATCAAATACACTCCACAAAGGAACTTTTCTTTAATGTGGGTTCTCTTTATTTACCTCTGCATCTCTGTAGCTCCTAGCATTTTGTCAAGATTGTCTTGATCTGTATGACAAAACAGTTGGCCTTAATGAACATTGTTTTCACTTTAAGGAGACTTCTGTGGTTTCTTCTTTTAACTATGAGCAAATCCATCAGAACCACAGGGAATGAGCTTGAGGCAAGAGTATGGGTAGAAATCCTCTGATGGCTCACCTCCCCCTCCGGACCCCCAGTATCTCCCCAGGCAACATCTGGACTCCACTATGGGAGGAGCTGGCAGCTTCAACACCAGACCCCAAAGCCACAATCCGAGAGGGCACGTTGGCCCAGGTAGGAGTGGGGAGCCAGAACCAGGTGGGATGGGGCTAAGGGGCCTGATGGGATTCTGATTAATCATTTCCTTGGTCTCTTCTCTCCCCAGCCCCTGGGCCGCATGGGCCAACCAGCTGAGGTGGGCGCAGCTGCTGTGTTCTTGGCCTCTGAGGCCAACTTCTGTACCGGCATTGAGCTGTTTGTGACTGGGGGTGCAGAGCTGGGCTATGGGCGAAAGGCTAGCCCCGGGACCCCCGTGGAGATGCCCATCAACAAACCTTCTTGATTTCCCTATTCCAAACTTGGGCATCCCCTGCCTAGGTCCCTCCCACTCCACCTTCAGACCAGACCCCACCGCCATCATCACCTCCTTCCCAAATGCAGCCCCCAAATCCTCATAAAAAACATCTGCCACCAGAAGACGGAGGTCATCATTCGGTTTCTTTTTCGGCCTCTATGCGGCCTTGTAGGATAAGCACTCAATCTCAAGGCTAGGGGTTCAAACCCACCAGCCACTCCTCGGAAACTCTATACAGAGTCACTATGAGTCGGAACTGACTGGATGGCACTAACAACAACATACGAATACCATGATGCCGCCCCCGGGCCTGCGCACTGAAGAACTACAACTCCCGGCAGACATCATGGCAGGCTGGGGGCGGGGAGGGGCGGAGCCGACTCCTACGCTAGCGCGCTAATTAAAATGCCCGCAGGGGAGAGGGTTTAAGCGCTAATTAGTAGATAATAGAGGAAAAGCGAGCGGTTCTTTTCTTCGTAGCACTGAGGGGAAGGAAGTTCTCATCTTGCTGTCTGGGGAGGAAGGGTCCTAAGAGAAAAAGAGACTGGGGGCTTCGACTCCTGGGGCTTATGGAGGAGGGGACTGGGGGTCTGGGTGTGAAAGAGATGAGGAGGGGGGTCTGAGACTAGGAGACCGAGGGCCTGGACTTTTGGGTCTGAGGGAGGAGGGGGCTGGAGGGACTGGACTCCTGGGGTCTGAAGGAGGTGGGGCTGGGGGCCAGGTATCTTGGGTCTAAGGATGGTTGAAACTAGAGGTTGTACACTCAGGATCCCCCAGTTAGGCCGTGGGGTCCAGTCTGGGTGGAGTCTTCCAGATGCCGGGGGTGGGGCTGCAAGGCTGCTGCGGATTGGCCGCGGCGGGGGTGTGTGCGGCAGTCGGGGATAGGCCGTGGCGGGGGCGGGAACGGGCCGTGGGCGCCGCCTGGAGGGGTTGAAGGGCGGGGCGGGAGAAAGGAAAACAGGACGACACCCAGCGGGGGAGGGTTCGCTTGTTGGCTACCTGGGCGCGCGCGCGTGTGCGCGTGTGTGCGCGTGTGTGTGTGTGTGTGTGTGTGTGTGTGTGTGTGTGTTTTGGGGGGGGGGTGGGGGGGCGCGAGTAATGACCGGGGGACAGGATTTGTGGGAGTGATGGGGGTTGAAATTTAGGGCCAAGTGTCCTAGGGTTGAATTGCAGAGGTAGAATGGCCTAGTGACCGCATTTTGAGGATACAGCTGGGGCAAGATTTTGTTGTCACGTTTACCCAAGTGCAAGGATTTGAGGAGCCCTGACGATGGAAAGTTTCGTGGGTAGAGCAGCTACAGAGGGCAAAGATGGAGGGGCGCTGAGGCAGGTTAGAATCACTAAGGATCCTGCAGGACTAGCTGGCTAATGGCCTCTGGATTCCTGAAACTGTGGAGACATCACTGGAAGCCTTGTCCTGGGGCCATTTCTTAGAGTCTCTGATATTCGGAAGGGAGAAGAAGGTTAAAATTCGGGCCTCGCTGATGAAAGGGATTGGAGAGAGAAATGATCTGTATGTGTGTGCTCATCTCATAAAAACATCGCTTTTGTGAATCTTCTCATTGAAAAGAAAAACAATTTTTAAAGTGGGATGTATCCAGGCTGCCGAGTGAAGCTCCTTCATCTTTACCTACTGTCTTCATCAAGGGCCTTTTTAAAAAACCCATAATCCTTGTCCTTTTTCTGTGCATTTACAGGACACGTGCGCTTCCCGTATATCGATAGAGCACTTTTCCTTTTCACAAAGCGATTCTAATGTACAGTAATTTCAAGAATGCATTTTTGAAAACTTTCTTCTCCAGTCTCGCTGCGCACCCCTCTTCCGCGCGCTGGGGCTCAGCAGCAGACCCTAGGTTCCCTTGGGTGCACTATTACTGGGGAGGTCCGGACTGGCGGAAAGGGGCGTGCGTGGGGCGGAGCCGGAACGTGTTTCGCTTGGGCCGCGCCTCGGGCGGGCACAGTTACCCGCCGCACCGACCATGGCCGCAGCCGCACTGGGACAGGTGGGTTTGGGACCCCCTCCTCCCTGGGGACGGGGAACCCCGTGGGGAGATGCACTTTCGGGGGATCACGTGTGAGCAGCCTGTGTCCGGTTTGGCGTCGCTCCTCCGGTGCTCCGGTTCCTTTTCGAGGTGCAGAGGAGGAGGGGAGTCCTTTGGAAAGGAACCGGAGACTTTGTAATGGGGTGGTTGACTAGACTCTTTGGGGATGGTCAGGTGATTGGTGAAGAGGGGATTTCAAAAGGGAGAAACATGGAGGAGGGTGCACTGGGGTGGGGTGGGGCTGTGATGTGGAAGTATTAAGCCGTGAGTGTTAAGGAGGGAACTGCTAGCCTCTGGGGGCGCCGGGATAAGGGGCCCAGAATTTCTAGGGTTGAGTGTAGGATGAAGGTACAGAGCTCAACCTCAGGTCTGGCCTGGGATGTGGACCCAGGGCCCTGTTTCCTCGGCACTAAAGTTAGATGTGCAATGTTGCTTCTGAAACCCCCTTATCTGATGTTCTGCACACGGGTTGTCAGTTGAAGCTGCTTCTGTGTAAAAGTCAAGTCTATCCTCCAGGCAAAAGCGAGATGATCCATCCTTCCAGAAATGATGCCAAATAGCCAGCAGACTCTGTGATTTCAGAGAACAAGATTTCACAGGGAGGAAAGAAACAGTAGCAACTCCAAAGAAGGGGGTGATTGTGATGTTGACAGCTGCAGCCTAACCTTGGGAGAAGGAAGCAGTTTCCCGTTCACTTTGCCCTTGACCGTGTCTGGTCTGTTCTGCCCAGTCTGATGAATGTTCTTGTTGAGTGCTGTCGATTTCAACTCATAGCAACTCCATGTAACAGTAGAACTGCCTTTTAGGGTTTCTTAGGCTGTAATCTTTACTGGTGCTGATTACCAGATCTTCCTCTTGAGGAGCTGCTAGTGAGATTAGAACTGCCAACCTTTTGATTGGCAGCCACCATGCCTCCTTGTCTGATGAATAGCAGGGCAGATTTCTACTTTTTCAAACTGATCTAGTTTATACTTTCTTAGAATCTTGGTGGTTGTTATCAAGACAAAATCTAGCGCTATGACAGGGACAATCTGAGCTTTGATGGTGACACTCCTGGGCTGTGGGGGAGGATAGATTGGACAGTTTGGTGTTGTATTGTAGAGAGTTCTGGGTTGTCATGAGACAGGTCTAGGTGTAATGGGACACTCCTGGGTCTGCAATGGGGAGTTGAACTGTGATGTAGGAACTTGAATAGGTACACTACTCTATTGTAATATGGGGATAATTCTAGTCCTAGGGTGTGGAGAGGACAGAGCTGGGTCATGGGAGGGACGGCAGAGATTAGACTAGACTGGGCAGGGACATGGAGGATAGTACTGGGCTGGTGAAAGGGACATTCCTTAGCTGTCACTAGGACAGTCATGGATTATAGTAGGGACAGTTCTGGGCTATGATGGGACCATCCTGTGTTGTGTGTGTCTCAGGTGGGGTTAGCTCTGAGATTTGACAGGGGCAGGGCTGGACTGTGGCTGGGGAGTGATCTGGGTCTTGGTAGGAACCGACCATCCTGAGCTGGGGTGGGGCCAGTCTGGGGTTGTGATGTGTCAGTCCTGAGCATGACAATGACAGTTTTAGGCTGTGATGGGAACAGTCCTCGGCTGAGACAACACCGTGCTGTGGTGAGGGCTCTCCTGGGCCGTGATGTGGGGACCGTCCTGGGTGTGAAAAGGACAGGTCTGGACTCTGGAAGGAACAATCTTGGGCTTTCATGGTGGCATCCCAGGCTATAGTGGGAGGGACAGTCGCAGGTTGCGGAGGGCAGTCCTGGGCTGGAATGGGACAGAGTGGAGCTTCCTCATACTCCACAGTCTTGCCCTTTTCCCTTCATCCCTTTTCATTTCTCAATTCAGCCCCAAGGAGTCCTGGTGGCTCAACAGCTAAGTGCTTGGCTACTAGTGAGAAGGTTTGCAATTCAAACCCACCCAGTAGCTCTATGGGAGAAAGTCCTGGCTATCCGTTCCCATGGCGTAGTGGTTACGAATTGGGCTGCGAACCGCAAAGTCAGCTGTTCCATGGGAGAAAGAGAAGGCTTTCTGCTCCCGTAAAGATTTACAGCCTCAGAAACCCTGTACAGGGTCGCTATGGGTCTGAATGGACTCGAAGGCACTTAATATAACAACCATCTGTTCCCATAATGTTACAGCCAAGGAAACCCTGAGGGGCAGTTGCCCCATGGGATTGCTCTGAACTGGAATTGACTCAACAGCACCAAGCAACAGTTGAGCCCCAGTCCTTTGACATCTTTGTCCCAGTAGCCCATTTGTGGGTTTGTAGGAACCAGCTAATCCGGGTTGCCTTTGGGCCCAATCCCCACCGTGAGAGGTGTCAGAAAGATCACCTGAGTGGCCCAAATAGTTAAGCACTCAGCTACTAACTGAAACATTGGCAGTTTTAGTCCACCTACAGGTGCCTCAGAAGACAGGCGTGTCGATCCATTTCTGGAAGGTTCCGCCTTGACAACCCTATGTAACAGTTGTTCTCAACTGGATTTTTTTTTTGGGGGGGGGGGTGTACCAAGATGGCAGGTTACCTTTCCTAAATTGAAACCCCTATTCCTAGAGTAACATTCTGGGGGGACAGAGGCATCTTCTCTGGCCTGATAGGGTCTCTGGGGCTACCAACCAATCAGTTACCAGCAAGTTAGTCCCCACTCAGGGTGACCCAGTGTGTATGCAGAGCAGAATTGTGGTTCATAGGGTTCTCAAGGACTGATTTTTCAGAAAGAAATCACCGGGTCTTTCTTCTACGGACCTTCTGGCACTCAAACCGTAATCTTTTGACGAGCAGCTGAGCACATTAACTGTTTGCACCACCTCAGGATTCCCCCTGGGGCCAGTGGGTTGTGTAACTGCACAGGCACTGTGCCAGGCGCCTGCTCTCAGCCTCATTTTGAGAGTCTGTTTTTTCTGCCTCTCACCTTCTTCCCCTCTCCCTATTGTCTCTGTCTCTCAGTGTCTGTCTCTGACAGTCTCTTCCAAGGAGGAGGAGGGTGAGGAGGCGTTGCTTGGCCTCACTGTTTCCTGCTTTCTCTATGTCTCCCTTCCATTCTGTGCTCTGTCGCAGCTGGGGCTTTGCCTCTCTCTCCCTTTCCCCCTTCTTCTTCTCTCTCTCTGTCTCTCAGCTTCTTTTTATCCGTCCCTTAGCACTTTTTCTCCGTTTCTCTTGCTTTCTCTTCCTTGTCGGAGTTTGACTCTCTCTCTCTCAACCTCTTTGTCTCAACTTATTTCTCTCTTTTGTTAACCATATCCTGCCCATCTCTCGAGAGCCTGTCTACTGAAGCGTTGGCTCGGTGTCAGGGAAGATTTATTGTTCCTGGTGTTCCTCTCTCCGTGAACCTCTTGTCAGCTACACCTGTTCTCCCAAAATAGCACAAGGAAGAATGCAAATAGCACTTATGCAGGACCACTGTGTTGGGGAGCACCAGGAGGCAAGACTCCTTGGAAGGACCTGGCCTTCATGGAGAGAATAATATTTAAATAAGTTAGTTAGAAAAAGTCTCTTTGGGGTAGGAGAGTACGCAGTTCACAGATATCTGAACTTGCCCTTTCACCAACCCTAACACACCTGTGGTCCTGGAGAAAGATTGTCCCCTTTTCCTCTTTTCATGTTCCATGTGCAATCTCTTTCTACTTTGCTCTTCTAATTATGACAACTTCACTCTCCGTTTTCATGGCAGTGTTCCCTAGTATGGGAGCAGAGTGGCTCCCTATGGTAAACACTGGACTGCAAACCACAGGGTCCACAGCTTGAACCCATCAGCTCTGTAGGAGAAATAGGAGGCTCCCTGCTCCCACAAAGATTTAAAGGAAAAGAGAAAAACGTAAAGCCTCAGAAACCCTAGTGAGGAGTCAGAAGTGACTTGGCACTCAGCAGCATTAACCATATCTAGTCTGCGATCTCTTGGACTCACTTTCTGTTTCTTTCTTTTTTCCGTTTCTTTTCCTCATTCTTCCACTTGCCTCTCTTAGATTTTCCATTCTGACTCTGTGTCTTTCTGGTTCCCTCTGAGGGTTTACTCTCCTGCCCATCTGCAGACTGTCCCCACCCCCCCAGTGTCTGTCCCTTCTCCACACTTGTGAGAGTCCACTGCCTTCCTGGACAGAAGCCCCCAGAGGTAGTCCTAGGAGCACACACACTGATCCTCCCAGAAACCCTTGGGCTCTACCCCCTCCCGGGTCACAGTTCAGACTTGGTAGCCCCAGCTTTAGGACAGAGCAGGTCTGGAAACCCTTGCCTCTGTTGTAACTTACCTCTGGACCAGTGACCACTCGTGTCCAATTCATATGAATGGGCTCACCCAGGTCACCCAGCTCGGGACAGGAGCAGGCTGGACAGCTTTGTCTCCCCCACCCTCACCACCACCACTAAACTGCCTCTGCAGCTGGGGAGAGGGGAATTAGAAAGCCAAAGGACCCCGGAGAAGGGCCACACTCGTGGATACAGCCAGACCTGCTCTCCCAGCTTGCTTTAGGCAAAGCCAAAGAGGAACATTGTCCAGTGATGGCTAGGGTGGCCCCCAGCATGCCAGTTGGTCCCGAGTTCCATGTGGCTGCCCTTTAGCCAAAGGACTCTGATGGGAATTGGAGTCACCAAAGTGGAATCCAAGTTGTGGGCTTGGGGCCTTCCGACACTCTTCAGACTCCTGCTACTCTGAGAAGTAAAGACGTGGGCGCCTGGGTCTGGGCAAGGAGGACATGAGGGGCCTGGACTTTCAGATCTGAGGGAGGAGGAGGTTGGGGGGATTCCTGGATCACAGGAAGGAGGGAGCTGGGGGCCCAAACTCCTGGATCCTGGGGAAGCATCTCCTGTGGGCTCTTCACTTTTCTAACTGTTGTCAGAATTTGGGGCCCCGGGAGCTCTTCACTTACCTGTACACCTTGCCTCATTGCTGTCTCCTCTGAGCTGGTCATTGGGCTGGGGTCAAAGTCCCCAGGGTGGGAAGGGGTGGGAGGCGCCAGTGTTTGACTTTGCCCAGCATGGAGGAGGAGGAGGGAGAGGGAAAGGGAGATGGGCGCTGACTCAGCTCTTTCCCTGATGACCAACTTCAGCAATCTCTCCTCCACACTGATCAGACTCTGCAAGGGGCTTGGCCACGGTGCACTGGACCTGGGACAGAGCAGGCCAGAGAGACTGCTTGAGGGCAGGAAATGGTCAAGGGGGTACAGGGCCCCCTGTGCTCTCCCACTCTCTTTATGATTCTCCTTCCATCCCCAGCTTTGGACCCGCAAATGTCTCCCTGTCCCGTGGCTTCTGTGTGGTTCCAGAAGATGTGTCTCTTCCAGCTTCAAGGTGAAAGGAGAGGAGGTGGACTCCGGGGTCTGAGGGAAGATGGGGTGGGGGCCCAGCCTCTTGGGTCTGAAGGAGGAGGCCCAGCCTCCAGGGTCTGGATGAGAAGACTGAGGCTGGATGTGGGCATCTCCAAAAGGTTCAGGGCCCAGCGACGAAGGTGGATAGCAGTCTAATAGCTGGCTATCAGGCAGTGGGAAGAAGAGGAAACAACTTTTCCCAGAAAGCTCTGGGACTACAAATTCCTCTTCTTGGTAGTGGTGGTGGTGGTGGTGGTGGTGGTGGTGGTGGTGGTAGTGAGGCTGTGCCCAGGGACTCATGGGAATTGTAGTTTTTTTCATGTGGAGATTGAAACCAGGTGGCAGGAACGTCTTGTCTTTTCTCAGGCTGCAGATCTGCAGCTGGAAATGACGCAGAAGCCTCATAAGAAGCCCAGCCCCAGTGAGCCCTTGGTGTTTGGGAGGATTTTCACAGACCACATGCTTATGGTGGAATGGACCGGGAAGAAGGGCTGGGGCCGGCCCCAAATCAAGCCCTTCCAGAACCTCACACTGCATCCGGCCTGCTCAGGCCTCCACTACTCACTGCAGGTGGCGTGGCGGCAGCGGCTCTCCCCATCCTCCCACCCCTCAGCAGCCCTGCCCCCTGCTTTGCCCCCCTCCTCCCCACTGCGCCTAGCTCTGTGTCTTGTTGGGGGGGTTTGTGCTTTGTGTGCTTCCTCTTCCTGTGCATCCACCATCCAGTTCCAGCTGAACAGTCCCAGTTCCGTCCCTTGAACATCCCAGCGTGGTCTCTGCTGTAATGAAGGCAGCTGATGCATTGTGGGAGCCCAGGGCAATTCCTGAACCTGCCTTAACTAGAAAGAAAATGAGGTTGTGGGTGTGAGATGGCAGGGACAGCTACTACCAGCTGAGAGGAGAAGCGCTAACGGTAGGCTTAGAGCCAGAGTGAGGAGGCCAGAACAGCATCAGGGCCACACGTGTAGTAGGAGAGGGACCCTGTCCTTATTCCTAGGGAGCAGTGCAGGGCTGTGTACAGGTCCAGCTCCTGGGATGGTCAGACCCCTCTAGGGCCATGTGGAGGCTGAACTGCAGAAGGCGAGGTTAAAAAGGGGCTGAGGTGAGGGTCAAGGTAGGAGAAATGAAGTTTAAGTTGGAACTGGGGCCCTGGGGATGCACAGGAGGGGAGGAAGCTGGGACTGAAGGTCACTAGGGTCCTGGTGTGGCCCTGTGGGTTAAGCACTGGATTGCAAAGTCAGTTTGAACCGCAAGGTCAGTAGTGGTTCACGCTCACCAGCTGCTCCTAGGAAAAATATACAGGGTCACTGTGGGTCCAAAGCAATTCAATGGCACTTAACAGCAACAGGGTCTGATAGGCTGGAGCTGGGGAAGGAGGCTAGGAGAGAATGATACCTGGCCAGGTCAGTGATCAGTGGACTGTGTGACTGACCCCAGATGGGGACTCAGGAGGAGGAGTTGCTTCATGGCATGTAGAGAGCAGGAGAAGCCTGTCTGGTTTCCAGGAGAGAGACCTAAGAGGCATTTGATCTATGACTTCGGCTCTCTGAAAAAGCTGTGGCCCAAAGCAAAGTCCCTGTCATCTCTGTCTCTCTCTGTTTTTGTTTTGTTTCATTTCAAAAGCCACGTCTTCATGAGGAAAATTGAATTCAGATGAGATTTGAATGTTCCCGGTAGCTCTAGTCATTGGTTTGCAGTGTGGGTCATCTTTGCCCTCCTGGACGTGGTTTTGTGACATTGACCATCATGTTACTTTCTCTCTCTGAAATTTCATCAATTATTCTATTTCTGTTGCGACAGAAGCACCTACACCAATCCAGCAGTTGCTGCGGCACCATCAATTCCGTGACCCTAATTACTCTCTTCCAGTTGTGAAGCCATTCTCCCCGACCTTGTTCAAATTGCTCCAACCCCAGTCACACAAACTCACATCCCCCTGAACTTCCTATTTAATCTGTCACATTTCTCTTGTCAGTTTGATTCCATAGAGATTATTCTTTATGCACAGTGTTCAAGGCAGACAGTGTTTACGGATGAAGGTAAATGTTTGATTTCAAGAAGACTTTAGGGGATACTTTTGGTTTGAGATTTCAGGATTTTCTCAGGGCAATAGTTTTAGAAGTTCATCCAGCTTCCATGCCTCCAGACAGTCTGGAACTCTCTGATCAAGAGGTTTAGAAGTTTGAGACTCCCCCCACCCCACGCATTCTTGGATAATTAACTAATTCCAGTTGATTCTGTACAGAGGAGACATACCTTGGGCAGCAGTGATATACTAAGGGAGCTGACAAGGACAGTTAGAATCATGCTTGCTGATCCCCGCAAAAAGTGATTCTTTGGCAACCACCATTGATTTTTCTCTCCATTCTACCCACCACAGCCAGGTTGTCCTCAGCCTGAGGGCCCAGCATTTTTTCTTCAATACAATGAACGCTGAGGAATTACCGGGTTTAGAGGCTCTGGTGTACAAAGCCTAGGTTCCTACAGTCCACGGCGACTCTTACGAGGTTACTGAGGTCAGCTGAGGGCACACAGAAGAGTCACATCCCATGTCTCCCTCACTCTATCTAATACATACATAAAGAACAGGAAGGCCACTGTGTTTCTAGTCTATAAAATCCAAAATAGGAGTCCTGGTCTGGTGCTGAAGGATAAACTCTGGACCACAAGGTTGCTTTGAAATGCAAGGTCAGCAGTTCATACTCACCAGCCGCTTCTCCAAAACCTTATACAGGGTTGCAGTGAGTCGGAATCAACTGGAAGGCCCTAAACAGTACCAACATAACGTGGGATAATACCATTTTATTTAGCTTTAAAGTACACAGTCCAGTGGTATTAAATAAATTACAATATTGTGCAACCATCAGCACTGTTTAGTTACAGAGTGTTTTACTCGCTTGAAATAGAAACCTTACACTCACTAATCAGATACTCCGCATTCCCTCTTCACCAAGCCCTTGGCAACCACTAATCTACTTTATGTCCCTGGATGCCTGAATTCATTTTGACTTGATTTGGCCTGTGTCTTAGTTACTACCTCGGCTTGTAACACAGATAACCATCAGTGGATGGCTACTAAGAACAAATTCATCTGCTCACAATTCTGGAGGCTACAGGTCTAACTCAGGATCTCAGCCAAGTACAGACGTAGACATCGCTCCTTTTGAAATGCAAGTGGTGTCAACAACAGAAGGAGTAACTGTAAAGAATTCTTCCATGTAACCAAAACCTCGTGGGATTTGTTTCCTTGACTTGGAGGTTTAGGGTCATGGTTTCATGGGACATCCCAATTAGCTGGCCTCATAATATGTAATGTTTCCATTTAACGTTATTATGTAGGTGATTCCCACATAATCTCTCTCTCTGCATCTTCTTTCTATGTGTCTATGTTTATAATTGGGTTTAGAATCCATCCTACCCTGATACACCCTCATTAATATAAATAAAACTCTACTTTGAAGTAGAACTACATTTATGGGCACACGGGTTATGATTCAGCACATATCTTGGGAGGATACAACTCAATCCATAAGAATGTATTTTAATTAAAAAATTTTTTTAAATGAGTCATATAGTCATATAATTTATAATTCAAAATGTACAAAAGGGGGGGTATGCTTCTCCTACATCTAGCCACTTTGTAGTCCTCCCAAAAGGCAGACCAATTACACTTTCCATGTCCCTAGAGGATGCCTCTTTCTAGATGCAAACATCAGTGTATACAATTTTTCATTCTATTCTTTCCACATATTATATTGTGTTTCTGGCTTTCTTCCTGTACTGTAGCTTGAAGATTTCTTCTAGAGAAGCTCTTGAAGAGCTTTTTTCTCCGTATTGCTGCTAGGTATTATTCCAGTCGTTAAAACACATTTCATTTGGTCATTGTCTTGTTGCTGGACTCATACACTGTTTCCAGTCTTCTGTTTATTACAAATAACATTGGAGTGAGTAATCTGGTACAGACATCACTGCCTGTAAAGGCAAGGGATGATGACCACCACAACAAAAAGAAGAGCTACTGAGTATGCGTGTCTTTGTTGTTGCTGTTAAGTGTCACTGAGTCAGTTCTGATTCATAGCAACCCTGTATCGGGTTTCCAAGGAGCAGCTGGTGAGTTTGAACCGCCCACCTTGTGGTTCAAACCTAGGTGGCAGTCGAGTGCTCTACCCCACAGCGCCACACCAGGACTCCCTGAGTGTGCTTATGTGTAACCCAAAATCTCGTGGGATTTGCTTCCTTGGTTTGGAGATTTAGGGTCATGGTGTCACGGGACATCCCCTTAATTGGAGTAAGAGTATGTGTAATGTTTCAAGTTTGCAAGTAGCTGCCCAGGGCCTGTCGTCCCTATTTGCCTAGAGCAGCAGAAGGAGCCAGAGAAGGAGGATGTGGGGGGTGGGGCCGTGTGGAGAACCAACCGCCTCCATGACCAGTTACTTTCATTGCCATGAGACCAAAAAACCTGGATGGTGCCCAGTTCTGAATGTTCTGATCAGAACGGGAGAAGCAGAAAACAGCATTTCAAATCCTCATGGGATCCAGGGTTTCTGGGGCCATGGAGGTTGAATGAATCCCTGAAACTATTTCCCTAAGATCATCTTTAAACCTTAAACTAAAAAGATCCCCTGAAGTCATCTTGAAACCAAACAATAGTTTAACTAACCTAGTTAAAAAAAAAAGATTACCTTGAACATTATACTCTTAAGAACTTTCTCTATGGGATCACATTGACAACAGTAATTCAAAAGATTGGATAGGAAACTTACAGGACAGTAAATTTATGTTGAAGTCCTGGTGTGGCGCTGGACTGGAAGGCCAGTTTGAACCACAAAGTTGTAAACCCTCTTCTGGGTCGCTGTGGGTCAGCAATGACTCGATAGCACTTTATAACAAAACAACACAACAAGATTATGTTGGAGTCCTAGTGTGGAGCTGTAGGAGAAGTACTGAACTGCTAACTGCAAGGTCGGCCGTTCAAACCTACCACCTGCTCCGTGGAAACCCTATACAGGGTCGCTATGAGTCAGAACCAACTCTAAGGCACAACAATGAGTTTATACTAATGGGGAGGGGGGGAGACAGTTCAGAAATGGGGGAGAAAGGTTACACAAAGTGAAGAATGTCATCCATGGTATGACATTTTGCACCTATAGATATGATTGAATTGGTGTATATTTTGCTGTGTATATTCTCAACAACAACAACAAAATAAAATAATAATAATACAAAGATCCAACAGGGAAAACAAAAGCTATTGAATTTGTCAGCTACATTTCTAGAATTGTTGGGTTAAAAGGTAGGTGTCTTTGTGACTTTGCTACAATAATCTCTACAGAGTTGTATCAGGTTCCATTTATACCTGCAGAACCTGTTTCCAAAACTCTGGACAACCCGTGTCAAACTTTAAAATAATCTTTTCCAGTCTCCTAAATAGTCCTTAGTAGTTTTGTATGCTGAGCAACTAATTCGAGAAGCAGGATTATATGAAGAAAAACATGGCAAATAGGATTGGAGGAAGACTCATTAACAACCAGCTGTATGCAGATGATACAACTTGCTTGCTGAAAGGAAAAAGACTGCAAAACTTACTGATGAAGGCCAAAGATCACAGCCTTTGTTATGGGTTGCACCACAATGTAAAGAAAATAAAAATCCTCATCACTGGACCAATAAATAACATCAAGACAAATGGAGAAAAGATTGAAGTTATCAAAGATTTCATTTTGCTCGCATAACTATCAACACTCATGGAAGCAGCAGTCAAGAAATCAAATGATACATTGCATTAAGCAAATTGCTGCACAAGACCTCTTTAAAGTGCTGAAGAGCAAAGATGTCAGTTTGAGGACTAAGGTGCACCTGACCCAAGCCATGGTATTTTCAATACCCTCCTATTCATGTGAAAGTTGGACAGTGAATAAGGAAGACCATAAAAGAATTGATACATTTGAGTTATGGCGTTGGAGGAAAATATTAAAAGTACCATGAACTGCCATAAGAACAAACCAATCTGTGTCGGAAGAAGTACAGCCAGAATTCTCTTTTGAAGCCAGAATGACCAGACTTCATCTCTCATACTTTGAACATATTATGAGGGACCAGTCCCTGTGGGACATCATGCTTGGTAAAGTGAAAGGTCAGCGAAAAGGAAGAAGACCCCCAATGAGATGAATAGACATAGTGGCAGCAGTTGTGGGCTCTAACCTAGCAATGATTGTGAGGTGGGCTCAGGGCCAGCCAGTGTTATGTTTTGTTGTGCCGAAGAGTCAGTACCGGCTCAATGGCACTTAACCACAAGTAGTTTTAGAGGAACCCTGATAGCGTCATGGCTAAGCACTGGACTGTTAATAGAAGGGTCAATGCTTCTCTTTCCATGAGTCCAGAGTCCTCATCTCTGCCTCCATCTCTGGTGTCGCTGCTTCTCTGGATAGGGTGCCACATTCTGCTCATGCTCTTCTCCCTTGATGGTCCTAGGGTCCTCTGTTCCTGGACTGTAAGATTAACTACTCCCCCACTTTTATTACCAAACTTCTACCCTTACACTTGTGACAGTCGCAATTAGTCATGTTAACAGTTACTCACTATTGAATCATAAGAATCTTCTCCCCCATCTTCTCTCACCACACCTATCTAGACAAGATGAAAATGATTCAGTGAGGTCTCTACCTTCCTCCATACACTCTTAAACTAGACTCCCTCTTGAAAACTTGTAAGCTAGTCACTTTGTGCTGGTATTGCCCCCTCATTTTAGGTAGCCAATTTCTAAGTTGCCCGTCCCTATCTACCCTGTAAACAGAGGGGATAGCATTGATACTTGATGTGAATACTTCTGCCCTCTCAGTTGGTATTTTGAGCTACTAGATCCGTAAGTATAGGTCTAGTTCATCAAATTGTAGCAATTTATCAAAAAAAAAATAATTTTTTTTTTATCTTCTTCTAGTCGAGTTCTGATTATCAAGCCATTGAGGCTAAGTCAAATGAGTTCTGTCTGTAAGTTTGGGTGTTCTTGTGTGTCTCCCCTCACTTCATATCAGCTGGATGCTTCATTCTCAGCTCTAGCCCTCTTGTGTTTTCTTCTATAATTTCTATGGCTTAATTTCTTTTTTTCCCCCCATTTAAGTTTTTTAATCTACCTGGAGTTTTACCTAGTGTGAGGAAAGAGTTAGGGACCCCATTTTATTAGATTTTTCTTTAATCTAGATGTATATTTGATTGTCTCAACATCATTTAATGAATTGCTTATGATTTCTCCCATTGGTTTTATCATTTGGTTTCTAGTCTATTCCATTGCTCAGCCTATCAGTGTCACTGTTTTAAGTATTGTAGATTTATAATTTATTTGATGATCTGATAAAGCTATCCCTTCCCTCCCTTCCTGCACCCATCCCCATCCCCCTGACACACATCTCCTGTCCCCTTTTTCCTTTTAAAGAAAAAAAGTCTTGGTCAATTTTGCTTGTTTTTATTCATTCATTGAACAAACACATGTAACTGCTAAGCAGCTTCCCTGGGCACAGGGCCTGGGTGTGAGCGTCGTCTGGTGAACACATCAGTGGTGTTGCCGTCCCTGAGGGCACTCCCAGTCTCCCACATGATGGTAATCAGGATGCCCTGCTCTTTCTGTGGGTGAAGGCTACACTATGAATGATGTAACATTTAAGCTGAGAGATGAGTTGGAAGAAGTGAGATGAAGTAATATGTTTCCTAGCATAGGCCTAACCTGGACTCGGGAGGAGCTTAGAACCATGTGGGAGGAGAGGAGACCTAGTAGCACAATGGTTAAGCACTACCACCTGGCTGTTAACAGAAAGGTTGGTGGTTTGAACCCACCAGCCAATCTGAGGGAAGACGATGTGGAAGTCTACTTCTGTCAAGATGACAGCCTTGGAAACGGTATGGGTCAGTTCGTCCGTTCTCTAGGGATGCTATGAACCGGAGTCGACTTGGACAAAGAAGGCAGAATGTTATATAAGAAAGGCTAGATTAAGTCTAAATCCTTTCCTTGGCAGGACCTCAAAGGCCATGAGGATTTAGATTAAATCCTGAGAACAGTGGTCCTTCTTTTTTTTTTTTTTCTTCATGTTAAAGATTTTTTTATTCTAGGAAATTTCAGACAATGAATAAAACTTGTTAGTTGTTAAGTGCTGTTGAGTAGGTTCGATTCTGACCCATAGCAACCCTCTATAGGGTTTCCCAGGAGCAAGCAGCTGTAACTTCAGTGGCACTGAACCCAAGGATACTTAAAACACTCTCTTCTTTCATATTGTGCTTTGCTGGAAAATATAACAGAGGCAGGAAGGTTCAAGCTGTGTTTGTCTCTTCACTTTGGCTGTCCTGTCTGTTGCCTTCAATCTTTCTGTGTCTCCCTCTGCCTCTCTTCATCTCAGTGGCTCAGTCTGTCTCTGTCTCCATCTCGCATGGTCTGGGCCTCTGTATCTCAGTCTCTCTCTGTCTTGCTGTCACCCTTGAGTCCGCTGTGATGGGCCTCTGTATCTCAGTCTCTCTCTGTCTTGCTGTCACCCTTGAGTCCGCTGTGATGGCTTGTGATCTCTGAGCCCTTGTCCCCTGCAGCTCTTTGAGGGCATGAAGGCATTCAAGGGCCCTGACCAGCAGGTGCGTCTCTTCCGACCCTGGCTCAACATGGAGCGTATGTTACGCTCTGCCCAGCGCCTCTGCCTGCCGGTGAGGGGTCGTGCCTGGTGAGGGTGGGGTGCTGCCCTGGTGGTAGGGTGCCAGGCCAGGTTCCCCTGACTCACCCCTCTGTCTGTCTGCTCAGAGTTTCGACAAAAGCGAGTTGCTGGAGTGCATCCGCCAGCTCGTCCAAGTGGACAAGGATTGGGTTCCAGAGGATGCTGGTACCAGCCTCTATGTTCGGCCTGTGCTTATTGGGAATGAGGTGGGCTACTCCCAGGGCTGGGGGGTATGAGCTAGGGACTTGGGGTTGGGGAGCTAGGAGGCACAACTCCTATTCGAGGGAGGAAGGGTTGGGGGCTGGACTCCTGGGTCTGAGGGAAGAGGGGTTTAGGGAGGGTTGTCGGGTGAGTATAGACCCCATGTCTGGGGAAGAGCAAATCCCTGGGTTCGGGGTGGAGATGGGAACCTGGAACTCCAGGGTTCCTAATGTCTCCCTCTCCTTGTCCTTCTCAGCCCTCACTGGGCGTCGGCCTCTCCACGGAAGCCCTTCTGTATGTCATCCTCAGCCCTGTGGGCTCCTACTTCCCAGGAGACGCCGTGACTCCTGTCTCCCTCCTGGCAGACCCAACTTTCGTCCGGGCCTGGACGGGTGGGGTTGGCGACTGCAAGCTGGGCGGGTAAGCAGCCCCCACCCAGTACCCGGGTCACAGTGTGGAGACACAGGTTCTAGTGCCCAGGCTCTCCTGTGGCTTCCTTGTCCTCCCTGGTCCTGCTTCATGTGGCCCAGATCGCTCCTGAAACCAAACTGTTGGAGCAGGAGGAGGTTAGCAGGGGAACCAAGAGGCTGGATGACAAGACAGGTTGGCTGAAGGTCAGCGGGGGAAACCAAGACTGGCTCTGGGGAAAACCCAGTGGGTGTCTGACTTATGGCCCCCCCATTGTATCAGAGTAGAACTGTCTTCCAAGGGTTCCCCTGGCTGAGTTTTAGGAAGGAGATTGCCAGGGCCCCAGAAGACCCAAACCTCCAACTTGCTGGTTAGTAGCCAAGTGCATGAACTGTTTGCACCACTAGGGACTCCCGGCTCTCAGGATGCCTCCAGAAATGAGAATTAGACTTAGTTCATATGTCTTTTTCCCAGGAAGCGAGGCCTTTCTTCCCAGGTACTTCTGGGTGGACTCAAATTTCCAGCCTTGTTTGTCTACCATTTGTATCACCCAGGAGCTCCCTACCCTTGGGAAGCCTCCAGAAATGAAGTTTAAACTTTGTTCTTTGGGTCTCTCTTCAGGCAGCCTCCCCTGGCGCCTGGACTGGGTCTCCAGGGTTGCTCACCCTCAGGGGGCCTGTCTGTGTGCCTCCCCTGGAGCTTTGACTCAACTAGGCTGGAAGGAGACATCGAATCTCCTGGGATGCTCTATGGATAGAGGGTACAGGGTCCCCTGGGCGGGCTGAGGGCAACTTCCTGTTATTTCTGAGGGCCAGATCCTGTGTCTGGTGACACTGATGAGTCAGCCCCGAGCCCCGCCTTCACGGGAGCTCCAGGCTGGTGAGAGTCATGTGTGCTCTGGGAGGGGACCCATCAATGGCCTGACCAAGCCTGGGAGATGGGGAAAGCTTCACAGAGGAGGTGATCCTTCACCTGAGGCCAATGGGTACAAAAGGTGGTAAACAATTTCTAATCCTGGGGACTGGCAAGTGGGGGGGCGGGGGGCAAGCCCAGGGATGTGTTCAGGGACATGGAAGAAGTCCAAGTTTTTGTGAACAGCTGAGCAAATGCTCCCAGACCAGACTAGCACTTGATTGCCAAGTTGATGGGTGGGGACCCTGCCCTGGGGGCACTGGGGAGCTGTGGAAAGCTGTGATCCAGGAAAGAGCAGGGTCTGCTCTGGGTGTGGGGGAAAGGATGGGGGTCCCTGGTCTTCGCCGACCAGACTGCCCTCCCCTAGGAACTACGGGCCCACAGTGTTTGTACAGCAGGAGGCGAAGAAGAGGGGCTGTGAGCAGGTCCTCTGGCTGTACGGGCCAGACCACCAGCTCACAGAGGTGGGCACCATGAACATCTTCGTCTACTGGACCCACGAGGACGGGGGTGAGCCCACCCAGGGTCCTTTCCAAGACCCCATAGTGGATGCTGGTGATAGTCACTGCCTTCCTAGCTAGTCAAGACCCCGAGGCATTTGGGAGATTGTGGATCCTAGGAGGTTGGGGGTGGGGTGAGCATGAGAGTGTGAGGTAACATCCCCCACCCCGTCTTCCTGATCAAGTGCTGGAGCTGGTGACCCCCCCACTGGATGGTGTCATTCTGCCCGGAGTCGTCAGACAGAGCGTCCTGGACCTGGCTCAGACCTGGGTGAGGACGCAGGCGTGATGACCCGGGCATTGAGGGGTGGGTAAGTGGGCATTAGGGCTCTGGAGTGGGAGAGCTGGGGTGTACCAGCATGTCCCAGGGTGACCTTTGGGGCTGTAGTGTATTCTTGCCCCTGCAGGGTGAGTTCCGGGTCACTCAACGAAAGATCACCATGAAGGAGCTGCTGCAGGCGCTGGAAGAGGGGCGGGTGCGGGAAGTCTTTGGCTCGGGCACTGCCTGTCAGGTCTGCCCGGTGCACCAAATCCTGTACCAAGGCAAGGTGAGGCAGGGCTGTCTTGGGTGGTGGGAGGGAGGCCGGGGATAAGCAGGGTCCTCACAGCCCCTTCTTCCCCAGCAAATTCACATTCCCACCATGGAAAATGGGCCCGAGCTTATCCTCCGCTTCCAGAAGGAGCTGAAGGCGATTCAGGTAAGGTACAGCCACGTGGAATGGGCTCCCCAGAGAAGTACAAGTCCCCTGAGCCTACCAACTGAAAGCTGATCTCCCCTGGCTCACAGCCCCTCCCATAAGCCTTTGGGGCCCTGGGGCTAGCTTTTTGGCAGCAGAAATTGCCTTTTTAAAGAGCCTCTGCAGCGTCTGGGTAGCTGGGTGTGAGAAATCCCCTTCCCTTGTGGTGGGATTCTCTTCCACCTTTGGGTATCCCCTTCCCCTGAGCCTCTGCGGCTCTGAATTTCTCTGGTTGTTGTTAAGTGCCTTCTAGTCGGTTCCGACTCATAGAAGTTTCCAAGGAGGGGTTGGTGGGTTTGAACCGCCCAGCTTGTCCGTCCTAAGGGGCTACACCAGAGCTTTCAGGGAGCTAAGCCAGCCTCCTGGTCTCAGGAGTCCACCTCCCATGAGCTCCTGATCCCTGGGCTAGCCATTCGTCCTGAGAGATCTTCTTCCCGGGAGCCTCTGACCCTTGACTTACTCTCTGGCCTAAGGATGGTTCCTCCTATGAGATCCTGGAGGCATTTCCATTCTCCTGAGCTGAGGTGTCTTTCCCAGGTACCTCTGGGTGCCTTTCCTAGTATTCTAGACCTAGAGAGCTTCTGTTAAGTACCTTGGAGTCTGGTTCCGACTCATAGTGACTCTGTACAGGGTTTCCAAGTCTGTAAATCTTTATGGGAGCAGAAAGCCGCTTTCTCCCACAGAACAGCTGGTAGTTTCGAACTGCTGACCTTGAGGTTCTCAGCCAGATTCATAACCACTACGCTACCAGAGCTTCTTAAACTGTTCGTTGGGACCATCTTTTTTGACCATCTTGACTTTCTCGTCTGGAGACTGTTTTTCAAGAGCCTCCGGAGCCTCATAGTAACTCCTTTCTGTAGAACTATATCTCCTTTCAGTCTCCATGCCCTTTTTGGTCATTATTTTTGCCCCCGTCCCATTAGGAGCTCTGGGTAGTGTAGTGGTTACGAATCGGGCTGCTAACCTTGGCAGTTCGAAACTACCAGCTGTTCCTCGGAAGAATGATGAGGTTTTTCTGCTCCCGTAAAGATTTACAGCCTCGGAAACCCTGTACAGGGTCACTATGAGTACTTAACAACACCATAATTGCTAGAGAACTTTCGAGAACTTTCGGGATTGGACTACATTTCCCATGAGGTTCTGGGGATCATTTCCTTAAACACTCAGTCTGGGACGCCCCAGGGGCTGCTGGGAGTTGCAGTGCGGCTTCCCATTCAAGCATCGCCTACGTTGTCTCACACACAGTACGGAACAAGAGCTCATGAGTGGATGCTCACGGTTTGACACTGCGGACTGTGCTCACCATCCTCGAATCTACCGATGTGTGTAGTGTGTAGCTCCCGCCAGCCTTCACCCTCTTCCTACCTGAAGTGCAATATGAAGAAAAGGCCGGGTGCCGAGATGCCTGGATCTCCAGCGCCCCCACGTGGTCTCTACATCCCAAAGCCATAAGGGCCGGATCCAGGTTTCCTGGCCCCTAGCCCCACCTCTTGGGCTTCGGGGATCTGGTCCCCCCTGGATGCTCTGGGTGTTGGGGTCAAAACTCTGTATCTCTCCGTTCTCTGGCCGGAACCACCGGTGCTGCCGTTGATTTTATTTTTCTTGCTGCAGTTTTGAAATAAAATGCCAAAGATCAAGACTTTGTTATCTCCAGTAATCTCTGGATCCTCAGGGTCCTGACTAGGAAACCTGGTCTTCAGCCAGCCTCCTGGCAATCTTGTCTCCCTGGCAGAGGTCTTCTACTTCAGCCCAAACAGAGTCTAACACCAACCCACTCCTATTTCCCTATCCTGAGGACAGCCACGTTCAGCCACTCACTAGGCTCTGTTCTTGCTGGCCTATGATTCTCTCTCCCCTCAAGCCGAGATCCAGTTCAGGTCTTATTTTCTCCTCCCTGGACCCTTGTCCCACCTTGTTTCTTGGTTTCTGGCCTCCTGTCTGTCCCCTACATGGCCCCAAAGGGGACTGTCGATGTCCAGGCCTGCTCTCTCCCCTCCCCTGCCTTTCTATGGCTCCCCAGCACCCTAACCAGTCAGTACTGCAGATGGTGAACAAGGAGGGAATGTGAGCAGTTGTTGGAGATTGTGAACATCAAAGAGGTTTCTTAATATATTGTTAGGAGCACTGGTGGTGGCACTGTGGTTAAACACTGGGCTGCCAACCGCAAGGTCGGCAGTTCAAACCCAACCCACTAGCCGCTTCAAGAGAGGAAGATGTGGCTGTCTGCTCCTATAAAGATGAAGCAGTTCTGCTCTGTTCTAAGGAGCTCTCTGATTTGGAATTGATTCTGTGGCTTTAGTTTTTGTTTGTTTGTTAGCTTCCCCACATGCTATAGCCATAAAACCAAAAAAACAACAATGGACCCTATACCCCAAAACAATGCCCTGCTTCCGTGCCATTTTCGTGATGGACTGCAATCGGATCAGGGTGATCTGTTGCATTTTCATTGGCTGATTTTTGGAAGTAAATCTCCAAGCCTTTCCTATTTGTCTTAGTCTGGAAGCCCCATTGAAACTTATTGGGCACCCTAGCAACCTGCAAGCCTGTAACAGACAGTTGACGGCAGTGCATGAGGCGTATTGGCCAGGAGTCGAATTTAGGAAGATGAGAATTCTACCCTTGAATCACCACTGCCTCACTTTCTAAACTCTGTTACTGAGTCCTGTCAAATCGATTTTAGCGCATAGCAACCCCATGTGATAGAACTGTCCCATAGGGTTTTCTTGGCTGTCATCTCTACGGAAACTGGTCTTTTCTCCCATGGAGCTGTTGAGTGGGTTGGAACCACCAACCTTTTGGTTAGCAGTCAAGTGCTTAATCCTTGAGTCGCTAGGGTTTCTTTTCTAAAATGTAGTCCCTGTTTGGTGTCCTGGTGTGATGTGTTGGATAAGCACTGGACTTCCAACTGCAAGGGCAGTGGTACAAACCCACCAGCTGTTCCTGGGAAACCCTGTACGGGATTTCACTAAGAGTTGGAACTGACTCAGTGGTGCTTAACAACAGTCCCCATTTGTTTACCCATCTGTGTGATTCCCTGTGTGCTGAGCTCTGCGCTCTCCTACATATTGAAATGATCTATTTGGGTATAATGAAGCATCTCTGGTTGCTTGTTTGGATTCAAACCTGCCTGTTAGCAGCCTGCTGTGTGACTCCTAGCCCTCTGGTCCCGTTTTCTGGAGGGGACTCTGCGGAGCTGTTAGGTAGACACTGGGCTATCCATCAGCCTTCAAGCTTCTACATTTCCATGTGCTGGGGAGCAGAACAAACTATCGCCACACCCTGTGCTTCCCTTTTGTGGGTGCTTGCTTGCTCAGACAATTCCTAGGTTTGTTGTTGTTAAGTGCCAGTGAGTCTGACTCTTAGCAACCCTACACACCACAGAATGAAACACCGTCCAGTTTTGCGTCAACCTCACAATCATTGCTACACCACTGTGTCAGTCCATCTCATTGGGGGGGGGGTCATCCTTTTTTTCACTGACCCTCCACTTTATCAAGCATGATGTCCTTCTCCAGGGACTGGTCCCTTCTACCAACATGTCCAAAGTATGAGAGACGAAGTCTTGCCATTCTGGCTGGCCTTTTTTCCAAGACAGATTCCTAGTTTTAGGAGAACCACAAAACAACAACCAATCCGTTACCATCCAGTTGGTTCCAACTTGGCCCTATGGAGGGTTTCTGAGAATGTAAATGTTTACAGGAGCAGACAGCTTCATCTTTTCCCCAAGGAGCAACTGCTGGTTTGAACAGACAACCTTGCAATTAGCAACCCAATGCCTAATTCACAGCACATTAGGGCTCCTTGGACCTATGAGAAGCAAGGGGAAATTTGCTGGAGTCCTGTGGGAAAGCTTTCATTCCTTAGGAAAAGAGTCGAGAAGGACTCTCTTCTTCCCTTCTGCTTTGACTGTGCATATGTGCGAGTGTGATGCTTGGCGCTCCAGCAGCCATTTCGTGCCCATGAAGAGTGCTGTTGCCCACACACTGAGGGTGGCAGAGCACAAAGATGCAAAGACCAGGGTCCCTCAACTGTGTAACCTCTGATTTCAGAATTGTCTTGTTCAAAAGAAAAAGTTTGAAATGAAATAAATACCTGTTTAAGCACTGTGGGTTAATGTGCCACACTGCAAAGCCATTTGAACTGCAAGGTCAGCGTTTCAAGCTCACCAGCTGCTCCTTGGAAACCTTATTATACAGTGTCGCTATGGGTTGGAACTGACTCAACGGCACTTAACAACAACAACAACAAGCTACTTTGGTCAGTTTGTTTACCATTTGCAAGGTTTTATTAGGTTATTTTGGGGGGAGTGGTTTGGGGGACAGGACTTGCAGCCTAAAGCCTATTACCTTTGTTGTGTTTCTGTGTGGCCAGATCTCATTGTACCCAAGGGGAATTCTAGACTCTAGAGGCACCAGTGTCAGTGCTCATCAGTGACCTGGCCCTAAATAAAGACCAAAGTGAGATTTCCAACTAAGAGACCCCGTGGGAGCAATCAGGAAGGGTAGGGAGCTGTCAGTGGTTAGGGCAGTTAGGGGCGGAGGCTCAGAGATCACTCTTTCCTCTTCCTTTTTTTGTCCCCCTGTCCCCACCTCCCCATCCCAGCATCCCTCAACTCCCCCAGACTCCCATGCCCCCATGGTCCCTGTCACTGTGTCCCTCCTGTGGTCACCCTATCTCCATGCCCCCCCCGCCCCGTGATTCTGTCCCAGGGCACCCCCATGGATCAGCATCCCCCAATGCCCCCCACTTCTATGCCCCACGTGGTGGTTCCTGTCCCTGTGTCTCCCTTGTGGTCCCCCAACCCTCATGACTCCATGTCTCCCATGCCTCTGTCTCTAGGTCCCCTCTGTCCCAGCGTCTTCTAATTCTAACACCTCCCCCATGGTCCACATCCTTGCATCCACCCTGTGGCTCCCGCATCCCTGTACCACCCACCCAGTCCTTGTGGTCCCCTGTTCCTGCATCCTTCTACTCCTTGTTCCCCAACTCCTTTGGCCCCTGGTGGTCTCCCCATCTCCATGTTCCCCTGTCCCCATGTTCCCACACCCCAGGGGAACTTTGTGTCTTCCTGTAGCCCAGCATCCTCCTGTCCCCACATCTTCCTTGGGTCCACCCCTCATCCCCCCTAATCCCCATGACCCTGCATCTCAGCAGAGCGCCTCTGTGTGATGCTGGCATCCCCTGGGCAGAAGTCCACATTAAAATAAAAAAATTTTGAGGTAGCAGAACTATGGGTAAATAGGAATATGTTAGCACATAATCAGTTAAATATTGTTTTTTTATTTAATTTTTTTCTTTTAAAATTTTCATTGTAAATTGAGTGAAGGTTTCCAGAGCAGATCATCAGTTTTACATTCAACAAATCCTAGACCATTTCTTTACAATGATTGGGATCCCCTCCATGTAGGTACCATCAGTTCACGGTATTTACCTCTGTTCACTTGAACTCTTGGGAACTAGTTGGTGTCTAGTTGTCTCTGATCCATGGAGACCATGTGTATCAGAGTCGAACTGCCGCCTGGGGTTTCCTTAAAGGAAGCAGATCACCAGGTCTTTTCTTCTGCAGTACCACTAGGTGGGTTCGAACTGCTAAACTTTAGGTTAACAGTTCACTGCAATCCATTTGCTGCCATCTAGGAAAACCTAATACCTAAGAATAATAATTATGATAGTAAAAAAGGTAACTCCACATATACATTCTATGTTAGAAGAAAAATAATGAGAAATAAGATTAAATCGAGTGAAAAGAAAAACTATTTCAAAATGTTGTTCTTGTTAAGTGCCATTGAGTCAGTTCTGACTCCTATGGACCCTGTATAGCGGGGGTGGGGAAGGTCTGGCCTGCAGTACGTGTAAGGTTCCTGAAATCATTTGGTCTGGCTCTACCAAGGCGGTTAACTGCATGTCCGCCCATCACACTTGTTGTTGTTAAGTGCTGTTGAGCCAGTTGTGACCCAGAGCAATCCAGTATAGGGTTTCCAAGGAGTGAGTTGTGAGTTTGAACCACCAACTTCGTGGTTCAAATCCACTTTGCGGTCCTACGACAGCATCACATCTGGACTCCATCACAGTCAAGGCAAGTGAATTAAATGCTTGACCAAATATGGCGGGCTAATTTTTAAGTTGATAATTTTATATGGCCCACGAATGATGTTATAAATTTTGGCAGAAAAAGATTCCTCACCCCTGCTGTATGGGGTTCCTGAGGAGTGGTTGGTAGGAATGAACCCTCCACCTTGTGGTTAACAGTCCAGTGCTTATCCTACAGCACCACACCAGGAATCCATGTTGTTGTTGTTAAGTGCCATCGAGTTGTTTCTGACACATAGAGATCCTGGAGAGGGTTTCTGAGGTGGAGGGACTCCATAGGGTAACATAAACGAGATGTTGTTGTTATGTTGTGAAGTGTCATTGAGTCGGTTCTGACCCATAGCAACCCTGTATAGGGTTTC